TATTTTATGAGATAAATTTTTGATCATTTGTAAAGATTTTTATCTGTGAGAGTGATTAATAGTGCATATTTTTAATTTTGCGATATAAAAAATGAAATATATTTAGAAAAATTGAAAAAAATATATTGTAAAAATCTGAATTTGAACCATTGGATTTTGTTTTAGTCACTCCTTATTCAGCTTATTTGGATTACTCCTATTAAATCGAGCGTAAAAAAAGTTTAGGAATTCTACCTAATTTCTTTAAATAAATCAGCAACTCCTCCTGATTTTTCTGCTCAACGTCAAAATATTGGCCATAGCTTCCATAATCGAATAAAAGAACAGAAGAAAAAATAGAATTATTTACCAATTTCCTGCTCTTTTGTGCAACTGTCCATATTGGAGAGATGCAATCTCCGGAGGCAAAGATCTTGGAGAAATTGTTTACAAGGATGAAAGAAAATGTCCAAGCGTCAAATTCTTTTGATGCGCTATCGACCAAACAGGAAATGGGGAAAAGTTGCACACCGAGGTTGGGGTGTTAGGCCAAATGAAGACGTTGGCGCATCCTTTGGCATCCCAAGACGTTTATGGTGTCAGGAAGCCATTAATCAAGAGTGCCGAGCCATGCAGGATCGAGGAGACGTAAAGGACAGCCTGGTCCACTGCGAGTAAGAAATATTCGTGGCCAGAATTCCGTGACTAGAGTTAATTCTCCGTTACCTTTAATCTTAACTACCATTTTATTCTTTATGCTTCTCCATAAAACTGTTGAAATATCAGTACAGTTTTTTTTTTATTACGACAAAGACAATAATCTAGTTTTATATATTCGTATTTCTAATCAAAACTTTATTAAAATGCATAAAATTTCATTTCGTCCGTGTTATTCTTGGCTCGAAACAAAATATCGTTCTACACATACCACGCCTATAATTATATATCATAAATTACAAGTTGTACTGAAGGCACGTTCACCCCCTTTAATTTTTATTCTAAAAATATTAACTGATTATGCAACTTTTTGGCATACCGGTAATCATTAAAATACCCTTATTTTAATACTAGGGATGGTAGATTTCTTCGGGGGAGTTTATTTCTCAACAGGATCTTCAATGATCGATAATGCGGAACCGATTGTAAATGTTTCCAGAAAGGAAAAGCGCTTAATCAATGTTTCTCAGTTGATGACACTTTGTCAAATGTCATTAAGGGATACTGATAATTAATATTACTTGTAGAATCGCTCAAAGTAAGCTACAAAGTATCTAGAACATTCCCATTCTTCTAATTAAAGATAAGAACACTGCAATTTTTTTTTAATTTTTGATTTTGTAACTACTGTACTCTTATTTCAGATCTCCTCATATTAAATTTTCTTGAAAGGAAAAAAAAAATAAAAATAAAAAAGAAAAACTTTAACACATTTCCTCTTTTCCATCTTGGGTTTCATTCGTGTCTAACCCGTGTGACTGTCGAGAGGTGGTATTGTGTAACATTTGGGGTGGCGTAATCTCATTAGTTATAAAGCAACTGCCTTTGTATTCTTTAAAGATAATGAATGGATGTTTGGGAATGTATAATATCCATTTTTGAATTGCATTATACTTTAAAATAGTTTGACAAAATCTAAATGGTTATTTTGTGATTAATGAAAAAGGTAGTGAGAAGGTTAAAGAGATTCGATTTGAGATCCTCACCTAGCATAAAACCAAGCTATGAATCATAAACTGGAGTTGAGAATTCGAAAAAAAGTTAAAATTTAAGTTTATTATGTTTTAAATTTAAAATAGAATTACGTAGATTGTGCAAGAGAGTTTAAGATACTTTCCTACTTTAATTCTGTAATCAGAAAAACAAAATTTCACAGAAGTTAGTTCAGAACACAAGTTTTATGATAGAAGGAAAAAAAATAATGGAAAATCGATTAACTTCCAACATTTTTAAGAAGCACAAAGCAGTATTTATATCCCTCTTTTGAACGTTTCAAAGAAAGTTGTATCGAGTCACGAAAAGAAAGCGTTGAAAAAACATTGTTGATCTCTTAAAATCCTAAACTGTTTCACCTCAGCTTGTAATTCTCTAGAGTGCCCGTAATAAAACCTTCTAATAATCCAAAATAGCCCAATTTTTAGCAGGTTAGAGATAGAGATAAAACTCTAAACCCTGAGAGAGTATTAACCGCCAAAAGTAACAAATTGGTTACAGTCGATACGTTAGTATTTGAACTCTTGCTTCAAACTATTCAGCAAAAGACCCTTGGGTACAGTGAGCATTCTTGCCATTAATTAGATGGATAGAACCCCTGAGATGGTTAGCAGTGGAGACAGATGAACAACCAAACATTTCTCATCTATCTTCACTTACTCTCTCTTCTCCTAGTAAACATTATTATTGTTATTGATAGATTCTAACGATTTTGTAATTTCCATGTTTAAGGATGTTTGCTCTATAGATTAAATTATCATCAGATAAATTATATACAAAACTTCTTTAGATAGGAGCTGAAATTATCATCGTCTCGAGTCTCCTCTTCGATTTTCTGCTTCATCGCGCTACATCATTGATAGGATAATTAATGAAGGCTGACACTTCCTGCAGATAAGGTGATGCTGATGACCATTTCTTTTAAAAACCTGTTTAAATAATTCCTGAAGTTGTGTTATCGATAAACTTTTATCCTGGTTACCATCTATTACAAAAATTTGGTGAATAGATAGGCTTTATCATGTTAATTGTTACATAATAACTGTTTATTGTCCCGATAAGCATCTTGGCTCTTTATTTTCTACACTATTTGAACTTTTATTTAATTTCTGATTCCGAATCTGCGATGACAGCAGGAAAAAAATCACTATTTTTCAACTTTTAGCAAGGAAGAAATGATGCAAAGTATGAAAGAATGTCTTTTGTTATTTAAATTTTAAACAATTTATGTCAACTAAATGAACTAGAAACGATATGAATGGAAGAGCCAAATACATAAACAAAGCAGCAAAGCCTATATAAAACGAAAAATTAATTAAAATGAGCAGAACTTTGTTGTGTAATTCAAGATTGATATCGTCATCATCGATAATAAATTACATAGATATCATTATAAATATTTCTTCCCGAATTACAACTAGATTTATTAGAATATTTGTTGGGAATAATAAGATTAGAAGATATTTTATGTGGAGTAAATCAAATTTCTGTCGACGAATTGTGTGTAAAGACTCCAACAGGCGCCAGCAGGACCATCATTAATTTCCATAAATTGCCTTTACTACAATTACCTCATCACTAGTATAGAAGTTAAAGCCCACTTTACAGATAAAATCTGTACATTCACAAATTACGAGATGATTGTATTTTGCTAAACAAATATCTAATCCATTAGGTAATTAAACAAAGATGGAAATGGCATTCAATACAAATCTCAAAAAAATATTAATAATAATTACAAGAGAGTTGCTACGTACCAAAAATAAAATTAAAAAAAAAAGATTCTCGGAATTCTATCCCAGAAAAAATGTATATTTACAGATAATTTTCTTTCTAATTCTTCCATCTTCTAGAGCCTTGGTGGATTTTTACAATTGAGCTTCAGGTGCACGGCTGTTCTCCCGCATCATCATTCAACTGAAGCATTAAAAAATCGAGGGTGTTAATGGCTATTAGACAATTATGCCGCCTATTTTGTTATTGGGGCTTCGCTTAATCACGATTTCTTTAAATAGTGGGAGATACGCCAATCAACCAATTCAGAAGGTAGGATTGGGCCTGCACTCAAATTACGGAGGGTGTAACGGCTTTTATAGAAAGTAGAGGTGTTTATCACGAAGAAAATTAAAGCATCTAACAGGAAGTAAAAAGTGGTAATTGTTCTCTTGAAAAGAATTCGGGGCTTGGTGCAAATTTGTAAATAGCATCGCAGATACTGTTTGTGTATCTCTACTTTCTTACAGCGATTTTGCTTTACGTTAAAGATTTTGCGGGCGGAAATGATACTTTTTTTAAATCGAATTTTATATACATGTAAACTACTGAGAAGTGAGATAGGAATGTGATTCTTCAATTGAAAACGGGTGCAAACGCATCTAATCTGAAGCCCCGAGGGTCTTTTTTGTACATTTTCCAAGACCAGAATGTAGTACATTTTCAGTTAGCCTTTAGAAATAATATTATACCACTGATGCAAGCATGGTTATCCACCAAATATAATTTAACTGTTTACAATTTTTTTTTTTTTTTAAATTATACAGCAAATATTTCAAGAAAAAGTTTATGAAATATGCTACATAATAATTCAATTATTATGTATTTCATAAACGTTATAAAACCGGTATTATTTATAAACATTATTACAATACATCTATATTTCTTCGTCATTAGTATTCATTCTTTTAAATATTTATAAGCAAAGAAGGATATTAAAAATGAATAACATAATGAAATGAATTTATTTAACTTTGTTGAACGCAAATGCATCAATATTTTTAATTGTATTTGATATTTAAACTTTAGAAGTTAACATTTATTTAAGTTTTCAACTTACAAATATATAAAAGTTTTGGTTAAAACAAATATTTAACAACTTCTACCCATTGCTAGATTTAAATAAACTCTGATATCGGATATCGAGGAACTAATAATCGAGGGTAGTTTGCGTGATACTGTCTTTGATCACGTAAAAATATTCTCAAATTATCGTCAAAGTATTCGTAACGCTTCATTAATATATCGAGCCAAGTCTACAACTTCAAACATGGAGGAGCAAACATGGCATATAAGAATGGATTTCATATGAAATTGAATAATTTATAGAGAAGCATGGCTAGAAAAGTTAATTTTAAAGAATTCTCTAATGAAAATGCCCAAATATATCATACTTTTTACTTTTTTTTAATGCTTAATTACTATAAAACATAGTTTAATTGGAGTAATTGTCTAAAAACAGCTTGTGAACAGTAAAAAATCGATATTTAGCTTGTTCTTATGAATGTTTTATTAATTTAATTTTATTTTTTTTCCAGTTTTACGAGATGATTTTCGTACATCCCCGAAGAATATCAGAGTTGCTATGGGAGAGACTGCAACTTTAGAGTGTTCTCCGCCTAAAGGTCATCCCGATCCAAATGTTAAATGGAGGAAAGACGGAGAGATAGTTAACGTTGGAACTGGTAGGATACGTTTGATGGGTCCTGGAAATTTGGTTATATCCGACGTAAGGCAGAATGATGAAGGAAGGTACACGTGTGTGGCAGAAAACATGGCTGGAGTTAGAGAATCTATACCAGCTTTGGTGACTGTACACGGTGAGTTAAATTGAATGTTATAGGTTTTCTCGTGTTCTTAGATACTATTTTTTTTACATAAGTTTGTTTTACATACTCTTTCTCTCTTCTTTAAGAAAACACTTTTAAACTTCTATACTTTTTATTATTAATAATTCTCAAAATTCATTTTTGTGGCATAATATATGTTTGTGGGGAAAACAATGATGATAAATATTTGTTCTGTGATGATTATCAGATGTTTCATCTTGGGAATAAACTATTCGTTGTTCTTACTCTATGCAGGCAATTTATAATTTATTTTGAAATTCTCCAGAAAGGAAATGTGGTAAATTGTCAGGGGTCTGATGAAAAAAAAAAGTTATTTTTTTTTATTTTACTAATGATGCTGGCTTGAATATCATATAATGATTCTATCTATCTTTATTTAAAAAAAATGCAGGTACTTCCAATAAACTGCATAGAAAATTAGTAGTATTTTTTTTTTTAATATTTCAAATTAGTAATTGAATTTAAAAAATTATAAATCTATATTATAACTTGTTAAATTAATAATTCAACATAAAAATATTGTGGATTATTATGATAGTTAATAGGTTTTTCTATTAAAACAACTTGAAGTCAGATAGTTCTCATTAAATTTTTTCTCTTTTTTTTTTTAAAATCTGCTTTTACAAAATTAATGATAAGTCGAAAAAAAAAATTGAAAAAGTAAAATTTCTCTCCATGCCTGTCAACTTAAATTGCAAATGATTAATCATGAAAAACATTTGAGTTAATTGAGCTTAGTCACTTCAAATATAACAAAATTTGCAAAAGATATTTGTTAAACAAATTTGTCAACATTTCTTTCTCTTATTCTTGAACACCATTAAAATTAAAATAATCAATATTTAGTACTCTTTCTCTCTCTTTTTTTTTTTTTTTTTTTTTTTTTTAACAACTTAACCATGTTGTCAACTTGAAAATTCTAGATTAATCTTTGAAAATCATTAAACAAGCAACATTGAGTTGCATAAAAACTTCAACATGTGAAATCCTATTAAAACAGTTTTTGGTGATTTTTTAATGTACAGATGCCGTTAATGTAATGAAATTTCCATTAAGAAAAGAAAATTCACCAAATTTATACATCTAGATTAGGTTTAATTTGTAAATTGAAAGTAGAAAAGGAAATTAAAAATAATAAAAAAAAATTTTAAAGAAAATCAGTTAATAAACTTAGGTGGGAAAAAACTACATTTATGGTTCCCATTAACTGTCATATCTTTAGAAAATAATGTGGACTTTTTATTAATAAAAGTTTTTTTCTTTATAAAAATTAATAAAATTTATTTTTTTCTTGGTGATACAATAATTGGCTAATATTTTATTAAGCAAGTATTTAATAAGCAATAAATAATTGAAATATTTTAAAAAAATAAAGCAGAATTAGTAAAAGATAAATAGATTCATTTCTATTTTTTTTTTTTAATATGATATGCAATTAGTAAGAATTTTGAATTTTAAATATATATATTTAAAATTCTTACTAATTATTTTTATATAATATAATTTATATATTNTATAATATAATTTATATATTTGTTATAAGATATAAGAATTATAAATATATATATAATAATTTTTACTCGTAAACATTCTGATTTTTATTTGCATATTTTATTATATTTATACTAAGAAGCAGCTTTTATTTGCCTATTGAATGTCCTATATTCTTCTACATAAATAAAATTAATATATAAAGATTTAAGCTCATATAAAATTAATTTATACTTTTAAATCAGAAATGAAAACTTCAAATTTTGAAATTATACATTCTGAAATTTCCTTCCACTAAGAAATAAAATAAAAAATATTATTTTCTCAAATTACTTGCATTTATCATATTTCTTTAAGATAATATCTTTTTGTTAACGTCTTTTATTATATTCAGAATAATAACAGATTAGAGAAAGTCATACATAATTTAATTTTTAATTTTAATCTGAATGCTTTTGACAAAATGAATTTTTATATTTAAAATTATTAATATTTTAAAATTGAATTCTACCCATATTTATCAAAAAAAGATTTAAAGATTAAAAATATGATTTAATCTAGTGGAGTTTTGCTTCTGTTGTTTTGAATATAATGAAATTTATATCTTATTTTAATAAAATAGCATCACTAAAAGCACAATTTTAATAAATAAAATGTTTCTTTTTTTTTAAATACAGTACCAGTATTACAAGAATTATCTGTCAAATATATGTTTATTGGTAGACATTTGTACAGAACAAATTTTTATTAACATGACATAAATAGAAGAACTAAGAAGGAATTTGGATGTAATTTTAGATGGAATCTTTACAGGAAAACTAGCATTTGTTGTCAATTCTGTATTTTTTTTTTTTCTTCTAGTTTGAAACTAAGAATTTATTTTAATATACTACAGCCGTTATTTTTAAAATTTACCTGTTTATTTTACTCTACATTGAATTATTTATAAATTTTATACAAATATATTTACAATAAAAATTTTGAAACAAATATAAATCAAAAAATAAAAATATTCATAAATTTATTAATAAAAACCAAGCATGAGAAGATAATATATATTAATTAGATTAATCAAATATAATTTTAAAAATAATTTTAAATTTCAATAATCAAAAGATTAGATTTTTTTTAAGTGTATATACATTAAATAAATATTCCTTTCACTTTATGCTTTTGTAAATTCTAAAAAACCAAAGAATAGTTTCCAAAACAATAACATTATTTTACAGAGAAAGCAATATAATATAATAATCCAATTAATTATAACTAAATTCAAATGTTTTCTTTGTCTTATTAGCATTAAAAAGAAAAAAAGAACAATTATATCTAAATTATTGACCAAAATGAGCAATAAAATGTAATGTGGTAATTTAGATGAAAAATGCTCAAGTGTATTTGTTAGAGTAAATTAATTGATGATTCTAAAACTGATTATAGGTTTGAGCAAATAATATCATAAATATTGTACTGTATCATTATTGTTTGAAATGATATATATTTAAAGTATCCATCTGAAATAAGGGTGGTATTAAAAAATATATATATATCCTGTTTTGAGAGATCTTATATATATATGTATATACTTGTGTCTATTGATTATAATGTAGGAAGTAGTGTAATGTTGGGTGTGTTTGGAAAAATTACTCCATTAACTCCACCCAATCATCAAAATCTCATTAGATATTCACTATTGAACATTTTCTATTTCTTATACTATAATTGTTAAATTAATACCCTATAAAGAAGAATTATAACTAATAGAATTTTTTGTTTTTAATTACAGTAAAACCATTTTTCATTAGAGAACCAGAACATATTACTGCACTTTCCAACGAGGATGTGGAATTTGAATGCCGAGTCAGTGGAGATCCTTTACCGACAATAACCTGGAGAAGACAGGATGGTAAAATGCCCATTGCAAGGTATATATAATATTATATACCTTTCTTTTACAGAGAAAGCAATATAATATAATAATCCAATTAATTATAACTAAATTCAAATGTTTTTTCTTTATCTTATTAATCTAAACACTCTAAAATACTTTATATAAATTAGACTTAAGTACTTGGAAATAGTTATCATAACATATTTTAGATATTAGTTTAAAAAATGTTCAAATATCTCAAATATTTTAATAATTTTAATTAATTACTTTTAATAAATATAAAAAATATAAATTTGACTTTACAAAGATAAAACTTTGCATTTAGTCCTTCTTTTTTGCTGTTCGTACAAAGTTTTATCTTTGTAAAGTCAAATTTATATTTTTTATATTTATTAAATGTGAATAACACCAGCCATGTACTTGTATTAGTTTTTTTACTTAAAATTTTAATTACTGTAAATATATATTAATAATAAAGACATCACTTTATGTATTTTTCATTTAATTTAAATTNAAAACTCTGATATAAATTACAGAACCTACTTACTAAATTTGGAGTTTTTGAGAGGGTGTAAGCAGCAAAAAAACTGCTTGAAAAACATGATAATTTATTAAACTAACCATGAAGTCAAGATACAACCATGTGTAGCATTTCTAAAGATGTTATACTTCAAAATCTACCATAACTAATATGTGTCTAAAATTAAATTTCAGAGCCCAGATTCAAGATGATAAAAGTTTGAACATTAAAAGCGTAACCCCAGCAGATGAAGGTGTTTATATTTGTGAAGCAGAAAATCCAGTTGGTTCCATTTCATCTTCAGCAACTTTAACTGTTCATTGTAAGTGAAATTTATAATCAAAACTATTTTATCTGCTTGAATTCTAATAAAAGATAAACAAGTTTTTAAAAATTATGCTTAAAAATTATAAACAAATTGTATCTGTAAAAATAGCTTAGAGATATAGACAAAAAAAAAAAAGAAATTATATGTATCTATTATATATTTATATATTTAATATATTTACACATTTTTTTTTCAACTTCTTAATAAGAATAAAGACTAGTTCATTCCTAATATCAGCAATTCATTTTAAAAATGACAGTTTATATCAGTATTTGAGACACAAGCACAAGAATTGTCCACATTTGCATGCATTTCTTCCTCTCTTCTGACAGTAATTTCGCAGAACGCTGCCTTAATGAATGCTTCAGGGCACGAAAGTGTAATTAAATAAACTGAAGTTACCGTAACATCAGCATATTGTCTCAACCATGGCTGCTAATGTCCAATCCAAATTCCAACAGAACTCCTCCTCATTCTTACAGCTGTAACACTTCACTCTTAGAGAATAATAATTAAGGTCAATGGCATTAGATAGAGTGGCTATAAAGATAGCACAGGTTATACAGAGACTCCCCTGAATTATTTTCATTGAGTTTATTATATTCTTTACCATTGTTTGCTCTTCAATGAATAGCATTTGTAAACATAGAGAGATTATTAAATGATATAAGTAAATTATGCAAACACACGACTGCTGCTAAGTTTGTCTCCCAAGAAAATTTTTTGTAAATTTTAACAATAATTTATGTGTATTGTTTACTTAAGAAAACTAAATTAAGTATAAATATGTAAAATTTATTGATAGAATCAAAAGGAAATATCATATCAATTATTAAGATCTGTTTTACAAAAAAAATTATTAGTAAAATTTGAATTTTTTGAAAAATTTAAATTATATAATGCATAAAAAAAACTCGGTTTTGATTTGAATTTTCTGTGAAATTGGAAACACTTTTTCTTCAGAAAAATCCTTCAAATTAAGTTCCCCTCCATAATTTGAATTTTTATTAATTTGAAAAGTTTTTCTGCAATGAATATAAATCAATTGTCATATAAATTAAAAATTACTATATTTCTTTTTTCATTTTACAAAAGTAAAATTAGTTTCTGAATTAAAAAAATATTACAATAGCTGGATTTAAATAGCTAGCATTTTAAATTTCTGAAAAACACTAGAAAATTAACTATTCTTCTATGAATTATTTTCATTTTAAGAACATGTATGTAAAATTACTATGAAGAAATTATTAATCATAAATAATTATTTATTTATATTATGTATAAGTTGATAAATATAAATTATAAAGTGTATTCATCAAATAGAAATTAAATATGCCATGCAAATAAAAGCCAGTAAGAAAAATTATATCATTATGCAACAATTGTATCTCTCATAAAATTGCCTTTAGCAAATGCTTCCTAGCTAAGTTTTAGATTGTAGTCAGTTACCAGACTTTCATTGAATGATAATGCTTTACTACCTACTAAACACAATAGCCTCAAGCCCTGTCAGATCTCTGTTGAAAGTCTTTTCTTTTTATTCATCCCAAAAGATGGCATTGTTCACCCTCCACCTATCTATATACTTTGAGAATGCATTAAAACTTTCTATTTATATGCTGGAAATATTTAGTACTTTGTTGCATTTCAATGGATCAACAATATTTTGGATGTATTATTATATGTAAATTTTTATTGCATACAGAAATTGGAAAGTAGCAAAACTAAAATATTTAAACTATTTTTCTATATAATAAAATTTATATACTTTTAAATATTTATTATATAACTTTTAAAAATAATTTTAACAGTTATTTTCCTGAAAAATATGTATTTATATGCAGAGAATTGAATTAAATTTTTTTTTTTTATAAAAGTAAAAAATTTAATTATTCATATTTCTGTATGTTATAAATAAAATAAAATGTTTATATAATATATAAAATACTTAATTGGCATCATTAAAATGTTTTGACATTAGCTACATCATTTTATCACAAATTCTAGAAAATCCTCAAATTTAATTCTTTCCAAATTAATCAAAATTATTCAAAGATTTGTTTAAATTATGTAAACAATTAGTTAATGTTTACTTTATTTAAATCATTTCTAAAATTCAAGTTTTACTTGTCATAATTAGTACATTTAATAAACCACAGAGAATTCACATTCTACTTGTTTTATAAAAATCATAATGTATTTTCTAATTATAAATTCAGATTTAATTTAATCAGATTTATCTTAATGGAACTTTATAATTATGTTTTGAAAATTTCTTTTAAATAATCTAATTACTAAAAACAATTTATTTAATTAGCATTTATCCTTTTTCTAATTTTATTATTTATAATATTAAAATGTTTTTAACTAGGATCAATTATAATTTAATTAATTAAAATTGTAAAGTAAATTTAAGAATTATGTTTTCATAATACAATAATTTGATTTTTAAATGCAATTAATCCTGAAATTTATTAGAATAACAATTACATATTTATTTTTAATAGCTAGACCAACATTTTTAGTAACACCGAAAGATCAAAGAGTTGGACTAAATGGAATTTCTAAATTTGAATGTGTTGCAACTGGAAATCCTCCTCCCTCTATATTTTGGACAAGAGAAGGAAATCAAGTATGTTATAATTACAATTCCATTCAGTTTTTATAATAATAGTATCTGTTTAAATGTCTGTATTAAGTCATTATCAGAGTATTTAAATATATGTATTGATAGTTTATTAGATTGTAATAGATTTAAATGAAGTATTCTATTCTCAATAGGCATTAATGTTTCCTGAAAGATCTTATGGGAGATTTTCTGTTACAAGAGAAGGGATGCTTATCATCAATGGGGTAATGAAAGAAGATCGTGGATATTATGTTTGTTCTGTTTTATCAGGAATAGGCTCAACAATGTCTAAAGCATATTTGGAAGTAACTGGTAAGAATGTTATCTAAGTATGATCTTGATTATTTTAATTGATGTGACAGTTTATTATTCTTCATTTATTACAATTGTCATGAACTTTAAAGTTATTTTCTTAATTCTAATAATTATTAAAATTTTGTTATTTATAAAATTAAATAACTTTTACAATCTAGCATAATTTATTCATTAAACACAAGCATCATACACATGTAAAATAGTATAGAGAATGTAAATACTACAAAGTTTTAACACAAAAGAAATAAAAATTGAGTTTTTTCTTTTTTTACTTTTATTTAAACTGTGTACACATGTACTAAACATTACAGTGAATGAATTAAATACATTTATCATTTTTAGCTGTTGCAGATCTTCCTCCTCCTATTATTCGTATGGGTCCAGCCAATCAAACTCTACCACAAAGTACTGTGGCTATGTTACCTTGTGAAGCATCTGGAACTCCAAATCCAACTATTAGATGGTTAATGAATACATCTCCAGTTCCCACAAATAATCCACGTTTTGTGGTCCTAGATTCTGGTACATTACAAATTGATGGTAAGTCATATTAGTATTTTTAAATGTACGTATTTTAAAATATATTTCTGAATAGAGTCATTGAAAGCTTGGTATGAAGCTTGGAAATAGAGTAGACCCCCTCCTTTTGCCTAATTTTTTGAACAAATAAAATATGTAGAATGCTTATTTTTTTTAAATAAATAGCAAGCTTGAAGATTTTATTTTTTATAAAAAAAAATAGCATTAATTTATAGGGATTAAACCACTATGGGCCTCTAAGTTTTTAAGGCCCAGGAAAGCATCTCTAGATCCTCCCTTTTGACTTTGACAGCTGTGTCTCTAAATATATCTTGTTAAGTTCTGTTATGATTATTGCGGATCTTATATATAAAAATAATTAGATATGTGATATTTAAGAAAATTCATTCTTAATATGAAATTAACTGAAGCTTAAGATAAAGAAAAAATAAAATCACTAAAAGTATTGTTTTAAATTTAAATATTAAAACCATTCTTTTTTAAAAATAAAATAATGAATTGGTTAGATATTAATTGTGAAAATTGATTTATAATTATAATGAAGTTAAGCTTAAGATGAATTATATCATCATTTCAAATAAAGATATATTAATATTGAATTATTTTATATAGAAAAATATTAAATGCAATTATATTACTGTTATATTGTGCAGAATGCTTTAATGAAAATTACCTTTTTATAAATAAAGCATTATTGTTTATCTGCAAATAAGTTATTACATTTACTAATTTAATTTGTTGTTATCTTTAGAAATTGCTTCTTATTTAATGAATTACTCATAAAAATGTTTCATTGTAGATTTACAACCATCAGATTCAGGAATGTACACATGTACAGCATCTAGTGAAAGTGGAGAGACATCATGGAGTGCTTCTCTAGCAGTTGAATGTAATTAATTCTGCTAATTTTTTTTTAAATCTCAAAGTTATAATAAATATACAATAATTGAATTTAAAATATAACAAATTTTCCACATTAGATGAAAATTGATATAAAAGTATTATATTGAATAAATTTTTTATTTAATTACAATTTATAGCTCCCAGAAATCCTAATGTGATATTTCACAGAACACCCGATCCATCCACATTTCCTGGTCCTCCCTCTAAGCCAACGGCAGTGAATATTACTGAAACTTTGGTAACTTTGATGTGGCATCGGAATTCAAAGACAGGAGGGTCGTCTCTAATTGGATATACGGGTAAATTAACAAATTCTTACATATTATGTGTTCTTCCTATTTTAATTACATAAATGGAAATATGTTTATTTAAAATTAAGTTATAACTGAAAAAGTAAAACATAATAAAGAAAGCAATCATTATTCCAAAACATTATTATATTACATTATCTACATAATATCAAAAAGAAAAAAATGAAATATTTATAAAGAAATAGCAATAAATTATTATTTTTATCTCTTTTCCAATGACAAAAACTATAGTTTTTACATAATATGATACTTTTAAAGTAAAATCTAAGATTAAGTATTTTTATCTTAAAAATTTCTGAAAAATTAGTCTTAAAAATACTTTTAACTATGAAAAGTATTGCAATTACAAGTAAATTTTTCACACTAATTTAGTTTTATGTTTATTTAGAATAATAATTAAAGTTTTGTAGAAAAAGTGAAATTAATATTTTAAAATAATTTATTGTTAATTAATATAATTTAAATGTGATTTTTTTTTATAGTGGAATATTACAGTAGTGATTTACAAAGTGGATGGGTTACAGCAGCACACAGAGTTCCAGGAGAAACATATGCAGTTCAAAATTTACGTCCTGATTCCCGTTATATATTTTTAGTTCGTGCTGAAAATTCTCATGGTTTAAGTCTTCCCAGTCCTACTTCAGATGTAATTAAGACATTAGGTAAAAATCTTTTTATGATGTATCAGAAATATCAGAAACATATAATACTTTTTCTAGAAATTAATTTTAAATATATTATTTATTTCATCTTTTAAAAAAAAATTGAAGTTAATATGAAAATGTGTTAAATCAGCAATTCACTCTAAAAATATTTTTATAAATATATTATAGCTAGAGCTAGTAGTCTTTCATAAGAAATCTAAGAAGTATGGCTTTGCCTTAATTTATTATTTTAATAATTTTTTAAAAATTTTCTGTATGAAAAATGTTAAAAAATTATATTAACAAAATAATTTATAATGAAATCTGATGCAGAATATATGATAAAATAATCAAATTTGTTTTGCATTGATATAGATTTCTGTGAATAAATTTATAAATTCTCATAATACTTTTTATCTTAATTTGGTTCAAATTTTTTCATCTTTTCATTCATCACATATTCATTACAGAAATGTAATTCTAGACATATTGAACTTTGTAATAATGAAGTAACTTATCCCAAATTAAGAAATTAGAGATCAGATTTGTTATTGAATTTTTAAGATTTTGATGGTAATTCTGTTGGCCTTATGCATGGAGCATGATTGATTGCTAACAATAAAAGATTAGATAATAACATCACATTAAAACAATGTTAACATTAATGTCATATAGAAAATAATTATTTTTTCATCAGTTGTTGGTTCCCTAATTAAAATTCACTGTTAATGATATTAAAATTACAGATTTTGAAAATGATTGAATTTTTTATTATATAGAATACTGGATTTTAAATCAATAAGATAGTACAGTATATCATAAATGCAAAATGCATCTAAGATTTTTTAAATTGCATTTATGTTTTAAAATATTTACAAGACATTAATTTTTAATAATACAGCAATTGTATAAACATAACTTTATTATCTATTATAAACTTATAAAGCATATACTATTATAAAGCCTAACTATTATCATGTACTAAGATATTAATTGCCTACTTTTAGGCTATTTTCTGTAATTTAGTTATTATTATAGTAACAGAAATATAGTTGTTTGAATGATTAGACTTAATATGTTATTCAGATTGCTATGATCAGTTTAATATAGAGATAAATATTTTGTTTCAATAAAAATTACATCAAGTCAAATCAGTCTGCAGTATAAACTTAATTTAATTTCATATTTTTTTTAATATTAACCAAAAAAATTGAAATTATCCTAATACAAATTCGAGTTTTTAAATTAATATTGTATTTAATCCAGTTATCTCAGTTTCAGAAAAATTGACATACTCCTTTGCTAATCAGTTCTTTGATTTGGTATATCTTTCATCATTTTAATATAGAAGGGAAAAAAAATGCTACTTTAGGAATTTCTCTTATTTTATTAATCTTTATTGATTGGATTTATGATGGATATAAAGTTAATAAAATGAAAAACTAAGGAAAGTACTATCTTTACCATCTATTAGAATTACATTATGCATAAATTTTTTTTTATTAAACTGAGAAATATAATAAAATTTAATTTTTCTGATTGACTAGTTTTAATTTTTTTTAAAAGTGGGGAATGGAAAATATATGTAGCATATAAATTTCTTAAAGAAAATTTTCATTGGATATATATAT